CCTTTGGAACCATTTGATCTCCAGTCATTTCTCCTGTGGACAAGATGGGTCCCAAGATTTCAAGGGTTATTTCTGTTGGTTGGAAGGATGTCCAGGGTATGTTTGTATCTCCAGCTCCTCCAGTGCAGAGGTTAGACCAGAGTAGAGGATGCAGGCTCTCTGATGGGGGAGAATAGAGGGGTTCTTCTCTCCAGACTAGATGCAAATGTGGTCAAGGCTAAATTTCCAGAGTCTGACTGCCTGCCTATGAATTTGCCTGCTCTCCTGCGTTTCCCTGCCCACTGTCAACATCAGCACAGATAATATGTCAGGCCTTTGCATTGGCGTCCCTTACACAGGCTATATTTACCTAAGCTAACACCTGAGACATGACCACACACTTGCTGGCCGTTCAGTAATGGAATGCACAGGCTCACTTCCTACTGAGGGTCAGAGGACACCATGGACACATCCATGGAGGTGTAGTTGCTCCGTTCCAAGCAAGGCTACAAATGCCCTCAGTAGTGTTTACTTCTTACAACAACGCATGAACTAGGTGCTCCAAGAATACCCCTTGGATAGAGAAACAGAGAGAAAACTGAGAAAAACCTCTACTCAGAAGTTAACGAGAATCTTTGTTGCCTGAGAATCCTCCATCATAAAATAGAACATTGAAGACAATTACATAAAACAAAGCAAAAAAATGTTTTTCAATTCTTTAAACTATATTTTAAAATGGCATCTCAGGGAGGAGCCCTTACTGAGACAGCTATAAAACCAGTGGGATGTGACAGGGACAGCTCTAACCCAGGAGACTAGACAAGGCTTCAGCCCAAGCCGCACCCCCAACTGTGAGCTCTTGGATATGCCAGTCACCCTTCTGTGCCTCATTGTGTGCATCTGCAAAATGTGAAAACTGGCTGTTATAATGCATAGGATTGTCTTAGAATCTCAGTATTTATCTATTTATTTATTTATTTATTTAGTACCAAGTATTAAACCCAAGGGCCCTCAACCACTGAGCAACATCCCAGCTGTTTTTATATTTAGAGACAGGGTCTTACTAAGTTGATTGAAGCTTCACTAAATGAGGCTGATTTTGAACTCACAATCTTCCTGCCTCAGCCTCCCAAGCCACTGGGATTACAGTCATGCGCCACAGCGCCCAGTTAGAATCTCAGATTTTAGACTGCAAGAAATAAAGATAATTTCACAAGTGAAAGAAATGAGGCCCCAAACTTTAAATGGGATGAAGACTCCCACTGAAAGTCACAAAAGAAAACCAGGTGTAAAAATGATTCCAAGTCTAGGGACCTTTGCCATAATTAGCATTGTAATTTACAATCCTATCTTCTTCATCCTTAGCTGGAGGCAGAAGACCAGGTTTTGAGTCTTGTTATAATCACAGGCTATGGATTCACAGGGTCATCATTTAATTCCTTTAACCTCCTCTTTCTTCTCCTATTAAAAATATGGATCACAAAAAAATGTGAGCATAAATATATGAAAGTTCTTTGAAAACTAGAAATCTCTGTACATGCATGAGACATAATTATGATGATGACTGTGACTTATTAGAATGACTATCTTCCATACATCCTGTAGTCTGACAAGTGGTCCCAGAGGGATCAAGGAGAGTATCAGGAATGCAGTGGAGGTTCTGGGTACCAGACGTTGGACCATCTACATTAACCAGAAGGGATGAAATAATTCAAGACTGTATTCTTCATAGGATTGAACATCAAAGAGTTAAAAAAAAAAAAAACAACAGTCAACACCCAGATTAGTGCAAATAGTTTTAATACTTCACAGAAAACTAAGTGAGCAGACATTGTTCTAGATCTGTTGTAGCAACATAGAAGACTTAGAATCAAGTTTAAAAAAAAAGAATGAGGGTGTGTTAATGGTATCCCCATCTCCTAGCCAGCACAAAGAGGGACTAGAATGAAGAATAGTTATTCTGCATGTCTTTCCATTTCCAGTCTCCCTCCAGGAGGAATTGTTTGTCCAACACAGGGACCAACTGTAGTGACACTGTGTTCCTGAATAAAGGGAAGAAGGTACAACACTCTTGTGGAAATGCAAATTTCCATGGAACACAGTTCCCAGCTGCTTCTTCCTTCTCGTGGTCCCTCTGGCTGATATTTGGCTGTTTTCCAATGAAACTTGGAGAAATGAGGCAAAGTATGGGCTTATAACTCTGTGGTTTAAATAACCAGTAACTTCTCAATATGGAAAACTCATATCTTTTCCATCCACCTCCTACCCTTTCAATGGCTCCTACCATGAGAAAGATGTGCAGTTATCCCTCAATTCACTTAGCAACAATTTTTTAACCATCTCCCATGTCATATAACTCCATGAAAAGCACTGGGCACTGGGGCTGCAACGCTGATTTACACATTTGCCCTGAAACCTCTTTTTGCACTAATCCTAAACCACAAACATTTCCTGGGCAATTAAATTAACCCCAAGCAGTGAACATTTTCATTTAAAGTGTTTTATGATTTTTATTGTGATTTTATTTTAATTTTTTTATTGTGGTGAGTTTTTGTCTGTGGCATTTTGCTTCTAAAATTTACATTATTTTCTTAAGTAGAATCCAAATCTGAGAATTTAAAATTTTTCAGAGTCTTTACAAATGTAATCACTAGCATGGTAGCATAAGAATCTAGAGCAGGTTGTCTAGCTGGGAAATTCTCAATTCACAAAGATTTCTGTCAGAATAATTTTTTTTAAAAGATTGATCCAAACACATGCTGTGGTTCTAAATATCATTCACCCTCCCAGGCTTAGGGTACAGCTCAGTGCTAGAGTGCTTACCTAACAAGGGTGAAGCCCTGGGTTCAATCCCAAGCCCAAAAAAAAAAAAAAAAAAAGTTTCTAAACATTGTGCATCCTCCTATTCTCATCCCAAGGATTCTCCAAATAGTTCAGCAGCAGCAGCAGAAGAAGAAGCTCCATTGTTGTAAGACAAGAAAGCTGCTTTCTTGCATGTTGGCAGAGGACAAAGCATCAGGAAAGGCGGTGGAAATACGCTTATGTCAAGAATGATTGGGTAAGGTTGGGTACCACAGGGGACTCACAGAAGGGAAGGTGGCACATTGATCTGAAAAGATAGGCTGGAGAGAGACCAGAGAAAGCCAGGACAGTCAGGATGAGATACCGGACTTTTTCTTTAATCAAGGTGAAGCCACCAGACACTTTTAATGCTCATGAGTTAGAGTTTAGGAAAGGAGGCTGAGAATACCAACCAGTGAAGAACTCTAAATAGAAGCTCTGGCACAACTCAAGGGGTGTGAAAATGCGGCAGAATTTGAGTCAGATCACCAGGCCCTTTCCACCGGAGACCTTCAGGAAAGGGCTGCAGAGATGCCCAAGGACAGACAGTCTTCCAAAAGCTCACAGCTGAAGAGAGGGGATGGAGCAGTCACCCTGATGTCCCTGCCTCTGCTGCCCCCACCCAGCCCTCTGTGGCATCTGCTCCCTCATGTTGCTGCAAAATGAGTTTAAAAGGAAAAGCCCTTTGTGCTTGATGATGAGGCTACTGTGTGTTCAGTTGGTGGCCCAATTCAGTTAGACCCAAAGGTTCTAGAATATTAGTGTGGCCATAGCACCAGTTTCCCACAAGGTCCCTCTGCTCTGCCTCTCGTCCCTACTCTCTGTGCTATTTGCCAACAACATAAAAATCTCCTCTTTTAAAGCTTTAGTTACCATTTTCCTAGAGAAAATTAATCAGTCTGCTGTCCCTTCTCTGGGCATCCCTCTCTCTCTCTCCTGCTATAGCTTGGACTCCAGCTAACATTGAAACGTAATTTTGGGGGGGGGGGGGGTCTCAGCTTTCCAGGATTGTTGGACAATTTACCATAAAATGAAGTTATTTATTTGAAATTCATTGTAACTCCCTTTCTGTCATGTTATTTATTAATTACTCCTCGTTTGACTAGTTCAAACGTATGCAAATTTATTATTAATTATATCTATGTACTACTTTGTTTACCTCATAAGATACACAGAATAATAGGAATTTGAAGAAGATAAACAGCAAATGGATATTGAAGTTGATGATTTTCTTCGTACTCTCAGTGTACAAGCTCTGTCTGGAGATTAACATCCTAGACAATAGCATCCAGGAGGCACCTCCTTGGTAACAGCCGGGAAGAACAGAATTATCAAAATTAAGACTTGTTTGAGAATTCCCTTCTTTTTCCATCTATCTTCTGTTGTCCAAACCCTAAAAACATTTCCACGTCAGACAGTTCCTTTTAATGCAGCATGTAGCCAACACATGAAATCATGTGGTATGTTAGCACAACGAGCTTATGTGTCCTCTGAAGTAGCACAAAGCTCTTGTGTGTCCTCAGCCTTCCAGGGGATCAAACTGAGAAAGCTTCCTGGGTAGAATCAGTCTTTAGGACACAAAAGATGGGAATGGCAAAGACTGGCAGAGAAAGGAAAGAAGGGAGGAAGAAAGAAACATGAGGGACGTTTCAATTCTCTGGTGGGCCAAGGGATAAATGGTGGAAGGGAAGGAGATGTGGGGAGATGGAAAGAAGCTGTACTGCAGAGAGACTGAGATGAGGAGATGAGGAGGCAGCTGGTGTCACAAGGGGGGTGGTGTTGGGAATCCAGGCCACTAAAAACAACTTTTGTTCCCCTATGGAGACCATTGATGATGGGTACAAGTCTTCACAAAGGGAGTGTAGCTTGGAGAATGTTCTTAGGTTGCTTGCACAGAGAGTCTGACAGGCCTGTGAGGAAATGAGGCCATGAGCTACGGCCAAAGGGATTGGGACTCAGATTAGGGTTTAGCCACAGTGAAGGAGACAGGGGGAACACAGAGAGATGGAAAAAGATTTAGTGGGACATGCAAAGAGTGGGTTGTGGGGAGAGGAAGAACTGAAAAGAGAAAGTACCCAAACCTTCTGAAGTCTTGCCACATGGGACTGTTCATCACAGTACTGGTTCCAGATGTGGGTAACTTAAGACCCAGATCACCCTTTGTTCAGGGCCTTCAGAACCTATGAACTGGCAGCACACAGGAGGCACATCTTCAGGGCCTTTCTCAGCTTGGGGCTGCTTAGTACCAAGATGAGGGAGTGCAGGTAGATGCTTGCGTAGGTTAGCACTTCCCTGACCCAATGCCAGTGACTCTGGATGGTTGTGATTTTCATAGCAGAAATGATCAGGGACAGGAAATACACGTTGTAGAAGATAAAGAAGAAGGCAAGGGACTTCAGAGCCATGCTGTGAGCCTGGATGCTGGGATCGCCAGGCCCAGGCCTGCCGTTCCTCATGTGCCCCATGTGCCGGCATAGAGAAAACATGAGCAAGAAGATGGACACCAGGAACAGAAGGAATGGAATGAGCCACATAAACCCCACATTACATGAAAAGTAGTACCGAGAGAAGGTCAGTACTGCTGGAGCAGCAGTACAGTTTCCGTGGGGATTCTGGGAGTTGATCGTCTCAAGATTAACTGCTTGTTCAATGGCAAAGAAGCTGGCTGACAGGCCACAGATGATCAGGGAGCCCACCAGCAGCCTGGGCACTAACCAAGAGATCCTCCACTTCAGCCAGAAGAAAACAGGGTGGGAAAAGGACGAGATCTTCACACAGTAGAAGACGGCAAGCCAGGAGGTAAGCCAGACAGAGAGACTGTTGAAGAAGTTCCAGAAGATGTTGAGGTAGCCAATGTGGTAACAAAACTTAAAGGAGGCCAGGAAGTTGTTCAGGATGCCCATCCCATGCAGGCAGAACCGGGAGACGGCGAGACTGGTCACAATCATGTCGCCTGCGGACAGTGCCTGGCACCGCACCCACTCCCTGCCCAACACAGTGATCACGAAGCCATTCTGCAACATAGCAGCCAATGACTCCAGGCAGAAGATGACCATGAAGATCAAGGTAGTTGAGGAAGGCATCTTCTCCAGTGAGGGTCAGCTCAGATTGGGTCCTACTCTACCGGCTGAGGCACATCTGCAGGGAAAAACAGAATCTCTGGCTAAACCATCTTGTTGAGACCTGACACTTAGAAATCCCTCTCCCTGGATTCATGCAAAAGCCCAGCCACCAGCAAAGCCCCATCCCCCAGGATTTGAAATGACAATAATGGCAATCTCCCTTGGCATGCAAATGACTCTCAGCTCAATGACACCTGTCTTAATTTGCATAACCTACGTTTGCCTATTCTTTTTCAGAGCCAGGTGCAGGGAAATGTTAATAGGATAGAGGATCCATGGACGGTTAAAATACCCATATTTTGCGCCTTGTTTCTTCGCTAGGGATCGCACCCAGGTCCTTCTGCATGCTTAGGCAAGGGCTTTACCACTGAACTACATCCCCAGCCCTTTTTATTTTCTTTTGAGACACCCTGTTGTTCTGTGGCCCATACTGATGTAAAACAATTTGGGTGATTTCAGATTTTATTCAAACGTCAGTCTCTTCAAACTTGCAATCCTCCTGCCTCTGCCTCCTAAGTGTCTGGGATTACAAGTGTGTGCCACCCCACCAGCTTGCCCATTATTTCTTAACTGTACAATTTCTTTCCTAACCTTTCTTCAAATGTTGACATGACCCTAATTTCCCTTCTCAAAACACAAAACTTCCCTGTCCCTTCATGCCTTGTGTAGATTTCTTATTTATCAACCTCTAGGCACTACATTTAAAAAAAAAAAAAAAAAAACCAACTTCCCTCCAGAATGAGTGGAATTTGCACAGGGCTTAGAATTTACCAAGGAAAGTCTCCCTAACCACTGACCTCTCACACTCCATATTGGAATTTGTGGAGTCTCCAGCTAAAATGTGAACATTCCTGACACATTAACCTCAAATCTCTTAGTTGTTAACACCTCAGCTCCAGTGTGTTTGACGAATGGAGATTTATCAGTGCCTAAAAAGGCTCTGAGGAGATGAGAAAGACTCCTAATGAGAAGGAAGGAGAGACAGAGAAGGAAAAGTGACCCCGAAAATACCTCACAGTGGGAGCCAAGGAAGTAAGAAGAACCCAGGACAAAGTTAGCCCACAGGAGGGACTGCCTGGTGTAGGGTGAACCCCCATCCTATTCTTAAGACAATACCAGCTGACCTGTCAGAAGGCCTGGCCTTCATAGAGTGAGTTCACACATGATACGTTTTGCCTTCATGACCAGCCACATAAACTCCACCTTATCTACCCTCCTTCACCCAGGTCCCTCCATCCCCTTTTGTTTTTCTTCTTATTATTATTTTTTTAATGCATAGGCTTTCTTTCCTTTCATAGCCTACTTCAGTATGCCACAAAGTGGGACTGGTCCAGATCAGTCAACCGGAAAGAAGAAGGGTAGGTAGCAAAAAGCTTAGGTTCTGGAGAGACTGAGAGAAATAAAAGCAAGAGCAAGCATTTATTGTTGGAGCTCACGGGAAAAGAGAAGCAGCTAACTCTCAAAGGTGGCATTTGGTTGAAGAGCTGTTTCTTTTTTAGTAAGTTTTCAAAATGTTATCAAAGAGCGGAGGATCGATCCCGTCTGATCACCTGCCTACAGCCCATCTTCAGGGTCTGGTCTTAGTTCCTTGCCTGATTCCCTCTGGCTTCTTCTTGAAGACAGTGACAAATGAGTGGCTCCTGCGTGTTTCACAACATTTTGCCTCTTCTGGAAATCCTTAGGCAAGAGGCCAGCTTTGTGATGTCATCAGCGAACAAGTCGAGGCCGTGGTGCACATGCCCTGTGGTGGCCACGTGGAACCCCCCCAGTGTGTGTGCTGTGCTCACAGGCACTTCATGGTACTTGGACTATCACCGAAACACACAACCGGACAGAACCGGTCTTCTCTGCCAGCACTTTCCTGCTCTACAGTGAGTTTTCTCTCATGTTTCAGTATCCTTAGGAGGAGGTCGAAGGAGTACCTTCCCCAGGTACCTGTTCCTCCATCTCCCAGTGCTTCAATAGATGTGTCTCCTAGAGATCCCAGTCTGCCTCAAGTCAGAGCAACAGCAGGATGACGGTTTTAGTTGTTTTCAAGAGCCTTTCAAATATGAAACAACAGCCAGGTGCAGAGGTGCACACCCATAATCCCAGCACCACCAGAGGTTGAGGCAGGAGAGTCACAAGTTCAAGGCCAGCCTCAGCAACTTAGCAAGGCCCTAAGCAACCCAGCAAGATCTGTCTCAATAGATAAAAAGGGCTGGGGATGTGGCTCAGTGGTGAAGTGTCCCGGGGTTCAATCCCCAGTACCAAAAACAAATGAAACAATAATCAAAATACTAGTTTTTTTCTCATTGAAGTTAAGTCTCCTTTCTCTTTTCTAAAGGTATCTCACACCTGCAACAGAAGCTGATAGATTCTTTTCTGTAGCATGATTAACAAATATTTTTGGTAGTTGGGGCGGGGTGGTGATACCTGAGTTCTCTGCGAGATGATGCTGACACCAAACACATCAGAGCAGGAGGCTGGACTCCAGGTGGCAGATTCTGCAACGTGTTACTTACACATTCTCCATTTAAATTCTCTACACTATTTATTAGGGGTTTTGTTTGTTTTCATCCCATTGGTTTGTTTTTTTGTTTTTTTTTTTTGTTTTTTGTTTTTTTGTATGTGTGTGTGTGTGTGTGTGTTTTAATGACATTCAAAAATGCATTGGGTCATCTTAGAGATGTGAAAATACATTCCTTTGGACAAGGTTTGTAAATCTTGGTGCCCATTCCCCACTGGACCTTTGAGTGCCCTGCAGAGCATAAATATATCCATGTCCCTCCATGATTTCACCAGGTAACTGATGGCCTGTACCAGTGAAAGTGGAGGAGGAAGGAAAAGGAGCATCTTTAATGGCTAGACTGCATGTAAATATTAAGGTCAAACATGCATAAATCAAATAATTGTTTCCCTACAGAAGGAATTTTAAATATTTTTCCTGGCCCTACAGACTTCCTCTAACTCATATATTTAGGTAAACAAATTAGGATAAAACATTGGTTTTAATAGCAATCCTACATAAAGTAGAAATTTCACTTTCTTTTTTTAAAATATTTTTAGTTGTAGATGGATACAATACCTTTGTTTTATTTATTTATATTTTATGTGGTGCTGAGGATCGAACCTAGTGCCTCACATGCACCACTCAAGCGCTCTACCACTGAGCCCCAGCCCCAGCCCCTAGAAATTTCACTTTCTAAAAGTAATTTTGAGTATTTCTAATATCCAACATCTTTAATCATGGAAATGTGTAAGGAGGTCACTTAATATTATTTAATAGTCAGGTAAATTTACATATTTTCAAATTAAAGTTATTATTGTAATTATAAGGCCAGGCTCAGGAGATTCTAAGTCAACTTTTATTCAGATCTTCAGAATGGCTCTTTCTCACTTTCTTATACCTTTGGAGCAATCAGAAGCAATAAAATTAATCTCTAAGAAATGAATCAATCAATGCTCCTTCCTTAATATCACAACTTCCCTATGTCTAACATCTCCTGGAGGGATGAACCATGTTCCACAATTCCTAAATCACTGACACAGAACCACGTTTTCCAGGGATTTCTCAGGGATGCCCACATGTCAGAGAGAACCTGAGAGAGAAAAATCACAAACGCTCATGAAACACAGCTGCTTGGTTGACATCTGTTTTATACACTGAGCATCCACGAAGATGTCAACGACAGAACTCCACTCCACTGTAAACAACAACTCTGAAGCTGCTGTGCTCTGCCAAGAGTCAGCCAGAGGGCAGAGGACAGAGGGAAGCAGTGTTGTACGCTTTTCTTCCTTCCTTAATACCCTCCTGAATCAACTGTAATGGGATTTCTTTAAAAATTATTTTTAGGGCATGAATTTTAATTAAAAAAAAAAGAGAGAAGGGAAAAGAAAAGTCATTTGGAAAGCCGGAGAATGGGGAGAAGACGAACAAAGACACTAACAGACCTGAAGGAACTGAATCCTATGTGAACACAAGGAAAAGTCAAGAGTGACTCAGGATTTGCAGTGCCAGGTGCCTATGGAGAAAAATGGTTAAATGTCGATTTAACATTCAGATCGGAGCTGGGGGTTGGGGGTGGAGCACTACCCTGTCACACGGGAGCCTTGGGTTCCATATCAGCGCCTTTCCTGTCACCTTTCCCACCCCCTTTGCAAGAGAACAACCACCTGTCCCCCACCCTAGGAAAAATGCAAAGGTGTATTCTCTGGAGAGGAAAAAACAGGATCTCCAAGCCACAAGTGTCCCCAACACAGCTGAGGAAAGCCACTGTGCTGAAAGAGGACAATCAGGTGAAAACTGTGTTTCCCTAATGAAGAAAACTACCTGTAACCTAGAATTCTCTCTCTGGATACTCGGGTGCAAGGATAAATTGCAGATGGTCCCTGACTTAGAGGGGTTCAACTCACATTTGTTTGTTTGTTTTAACATTGTGAGAAAGCGTTGAGACTTCCTTGGGAACTCCACTTTGAATTTTGGATTTTGATCTTCTCCCGGGCTAGTGGCATGTGGTTTGATATTCTCTTGTGACACTGGGCAGCTGCGGCAGCAGCCGTGTGGCCACCGCTTCCAGTCAAGCCACAGTCACCGACACCCTGCAGTGTGCCACTGCTAGGCCATGACATTTGGTAGGTTGGATGTATTCAACGCTTTTTGACTGACAATGTTTTCAACTTACATTGGAATGTGACTCATAATAAGTCGAAGAGCAGCTGTATAGACCTTGCAGACAAGCACAACCTCAAAAAAATTATTTTTTCTTAAAAGTTTATTTTCTATGTCCTCTTTTCCTGGGAGCTATTGAAGAATATGCTCCTCCAAAGCTGGAGAGCACAGCAGGATAAAGACTGTGGCTCAGGCAAGATGAGATCCAAGAGGGAGAGGTAGAGGGCTCCACCAGGATGACTGTAAAGTAGATCCCAGCATGGAGGGAGGTGTGCCGGCATGGGGACAAGTCCAGGCTGGAGCGGGACAA